GTTGCAATTTCAGTAGAATCGAGCAACGCCGATGCGAACGAGAAGCTCGACTACAGTGTGATAACCCCTATGCTGACGTCACGCTCGAAAGGTAAGTCGAATAATGATGGAATTTCTGAAGAATTTTTGATATGCCTCGGTCATGAAGCTAGGTGCATCGAGCAGCATACCTGCATTGTCCTTGAATCACTCACTGTTCACGGTCATTCTTGGGCAATCACCGAATGTTGAACAGCAAAAAATATGATTGCCAACATATCGATTGCAGAATTGATCGTTCAATTGGCGCCGCTCTGGCCGTTGAGCAACTTCTTCGGGATAGCTATATTTTTGATACGCATGTGATGAGTCGACCGTCAGGAAACGTTCGCGTTGTCGCAGCAAAACGAGATTATATTTAAACTTATGTAGAGAAATGCTCTTCAAGAACTACTTTCAACTGGCAACCTTTTGTACATTTCTTGGGCCAATTTTGAGCATGCTCTTCGGAAATGCATAGTGAACTCAACCTTTTACGCCCTTATTATATTGTACATAACGTCAACTTCGTTTTGAAAACTGGAAAAATTAAGGGCACTTATTTATTGTTTGCTTTTAACGACCAAATTCATTGCCTCAAAGGCAATCAATCACATGACAATAATCTGTGCGATTGCTTTTATCAACTCTATTCGAACATGACGGGTTGTGCTTGCCCATTCCACGCCGATAATAAAGATCAAAGTAGTACACTGTTCAGCAGAGGAACTTTCATGTACGTCTTCTACATTGTCTGATAAAATGTCACATACATTGCACCTAAGACTGTCACGAAGAAAAACCAAGACAGCTGAACAACCCTTTACCAAGAGATCAACTGTACACTGGACCCGCATTGCCACTATTGTCAACACTGCTGTTCAACCTCCCATATCACGACGGGCACATCTGGGCTTAGCCGAGGGATTGCATATCGTTCTTTGCCCTAAAAGTGATCTTCTAGCCATTAGATGACCAAAAAAGATGAAGCAGACCTTTGGGCGTAGGTTATTTAGTACTCTGTGCAGTCGTCGTAGCTGCCCATTTGCAGATTTTTGTTCAGCATAAAATTCATGCGCTACATCGCCATCCTCATCAATAAATTGAGAACTGCAAGTGAGTAAACAAGGAAACAAATGCAAAGATTAACCATGATAAAGTACGACACTTACCTTGAAGTTTCATGTACAAGAAAGACGTCAGGTAAGTAGCCCCTTCTGCTCAGTAGTTCTGCATATTTGGCAATAAGATCGTGACGAGCACGAGCAAGTGGTGCTTGTTCGCTCTTAAACAGAGCTACAAAGACAGTCACTTCTTCCTCTAAC